GAGGGGCTTTAAAGATTAAAGTCAACACTTTAAATTGCACTCAAGACTGAATAGGAAGCTATTGCTGACCATTGAATGTAGGTGTAATATTCTCCATATGTTCTGGGCCTTGTAACTGAAAGACATCTAGCCCTCTGCATCACACACAATATAGATCCAAAGGCACAGCATTATAGTATGTTGCAATACTACCAGCTCTATATATGTTAGAAACACAAATTTCAGAATGTAAACAAGATATATCTATAGTGAAAATTGTTCTTGGAAATAGGATGCAAACTGGAGAGATCAGTAGATCTCCATGAGGTCTTCTTAATCAAAAGCAAGCTGGTTGCTGCAGCTAAATGGACTTTGAATACCTGAAAGGCTAGTCCAGATGTGAATTGGTCCATAACTCCTGATGTTACCTGTTAACAGTGGAAATACAGGGTGCATCAATAGCCAGCTAGACCCTTTCATCTATGAAAAGGCATGTAGTTGACTTCCATGTGAGTAAGAGTTAACTGAACACTGTGACTAAAAGTGTAAAACTTGAATACTCAGTATTCATAGCCCCCTACAGAAACAGTGCATCCCTAAAGTAGACAGTCCTTGAGCTAAACATATTAAATGCAAAATCTTACTGGAAATACTAAATCAAACAAATCAGGGGTAACACTGCCAATGTGAAAGAAAATTCTCCAAATAGTATAGTTTTGTTTTAGTCACTGACATATGGGAAAATTTATGTAGTAAAGTATATGCTTATAAAGTTTCAACTTATATTTAGTGGGGGAAACAATTTATTATACCAAAAAAGCATAAATGTATGACAGATGGTAATGCTTTTTTTCTGCTCTTGGCAAGGTCTCTTTTAGGCTGAATGACTTTTGCTTCTTAAAACTATGAACATTGTCATTCGCACCTATTTTCTGAAATTAAACAGACCAATTCTATGATGAAATCCCCTATAAATTTGGTTACTATATAATGTCTTCCCACTTTTAAATCATAAATTATCTAGAGTACCACTTTCCCTAGAATATTGAAAAGACCAAAACTGGAAAAAATGGTATTCTGTAATGAAACCTTTATTTTAAATTCCTTAAATCAATTTTGGAAAAACTTCTAAATTTATTCTGGTAGGACTTTATATAGGAAACCATAAAAGAGTATACTAGAAGTACATTCTTCATCCAAAAATCTTTATTTTGGGCTTTTGAAATGTTCGATTCCTTTAAGTTAATGGAAAATTATATATATATATATATATATATATATATATATATATATATATATATATAACACATATATGTATATAGACATATATGCATACAMMMAAAAAATGGATTTTTCAGTTCATCTACTGAGAAATTGGCAAAGATTTTCCTAAGTGTATATGACATAAGAAGGCTAGTTGTATTCCTTTAATATGCAATCCAGTTGTTTAAAGTGAGAAATCTATTTACTGGATAAAGAAGTGAAGGAAAGTACCGTATAAGCAGTTGGAAGACAAGACAAAGGGTGGGATTGGGATTGAATGGGTAATATTAGATGTAATTTCCCAAGGAGCAGGAATGGAGGACAGGGTAGAGAAGACTTCTGTGAGATCCAAGAGTTTCAGTTGTTACCCCAATATCTGGGTAGTTAGAGGAAGAGCAGTTACAACAGGAGGGAGATGTTTTTTAAAGGCCACACCTTTGCATAATTTTATTTATGTCCCATTGGCCAGAACTCAGTCACATGTTCACAGGTAATGACAAAAAAAGACTTAAAAATGCTTTCTAACTCTTACAGTAGGAAAAAGAAAAAAAAATGTTTTCTGAAAAGCAGGACAGGGTATTTATTGCCACAATAAATATCACAAACACTTTATTGCTGCCAAAGTCAGGGTTGGATAGCTGTCACTTGTAAGAAATAGCTAGTGGCATTTTCTCTACATTTTAAAGTAACATTTAATTTCATTCTTGTGTCCTTATTTCATTTTTTTCTCCTTTGTTTCTCTTTCTTATCTGCAACCTATTTTATTAATCATCTGCTACTGATTTGGCTTGACTGATTGCACAGAGTGAGTTTTATTTTGAAGTGTGCATTCACATTCAAGAAGAAAGAAAATTAGTAACGTAGCATGACATACATAAACATCTAGTTATACTTTTTATAAAACATATTTTAAATGCCCACAATTATTTTATTGGCTTTCTAATAAAAACCCAGGCCTTTTTTCCCCCAAGCAGTTTAATGAGAAGAATTATCAAAGTTTAGAATGATGGAATCTATAATTCTCAGGGTTTTGGTACAAGATTCGCCTTTATTTTAATCCATAATTCAAAACAATCACCTTAAAATACTAAGAAAATGTTAGTGTAGAACAAAATTCTGAAGAAAACACTATGAATATGAATCAGTGGCAGCCTCAGTGTTTGCTATGAACAAAGCAAAATCCTTTTCTGGAAGGTAACTCCGGCATCACTAGGCCTCAGTCATTTTATTCTCATGGTAAGAAGAGAGGGTTTCTGGGTGTGAGCTGTGGCCAGGCTGTATGGATTTATTCCCTCCAAAAAGATAAACTATACATCTTGCAACAAGAAAGGAAAACTTGTATTTTTTTGGTAAATTGTGTGTGTGTGTGGGAGAGAGAGAGAGAGAGAGAGAGAGAGAGAGAGAGAGAGAGAGAGAGAGAGACTATTTCTGGAAATTGTCCTTTTCTTCAGAATCCATATGAAAAAAAATTTAGTAGGAGGAAAAAGTCTCCCTTCATTGGTTCAAATTATGAACAATAAATTAAAAGATGAACTATATCCTTAAGACTGTCCATCAAATGAAATATTATTATAGTGACTGGATATCAATATTGTGTTATCCAGCTTTCCATCGCTATGACAAAATATAAAGAGGAAAGGTCTATTTTGGCTCATGGTGTCAAAAGTTTCAGTCCTTGGCCACTTGACCCCATTCTATCTGGGGCTTGGTGAGGCAGTACATGATTGGGGGAGCACATAGCAGCAAAGCTGCTGACTTCATGGCAACTTTAAAGAAAAAAAAAATGAAATAGCAAGGGGTCAGGTCCTACTATGCCCTGTCACAGTTTGTCCCCAGTAACCTAACTGCCTTTCACTAAGCCCCACCTCTTAAAATGTTCCATCAACTCCCAATAGAAGTGTTGACTAGGGAGTCCATACCTTCAACACATGGGGCTTTGTAGGACATTAAAGACCAAATTATAGCAACTACCTACCCTACCCACTGCAGCCCTCATAATTTCTTCATCAAAAAAAGCAATGAAAAGAGTCCGGGCACCTTTCCCCTGTGGAAGGTCACTCACCTGTCAGGTTGTATTGAATAAAGTTGAGCAGTAGGTAATAAGCATCATCCCTGGCCCACTGCAATAGCAGAAGCATCTCACCTCTAAGCATAGGGTGGGACCAGAGGGAACAGCTAAGCACTGGTCAGCACTGCATTTTATATGGACTAAAGAGATAGTAAAACAATTCTGAATTTTGATTGAGCGCTTCCTGAGGGTGTTCTCAAATTTGTTGCGTTGAAAAAGAAAATTTAAGTACATTCAGTCTCAAAAACAGTTTATCTTCCATTTTGCCTGGCCTAAAACAGTGGTAGTAAAGAGATTAAGCACCCTGGATTTGGGATTCAGAAACTCCTGGATTCTAATTCTGGCACCATCAACCATCCTCTTTGGGACTGGGGATAATGTTGTGAGGAGGAAAAAAAAATTGCAAATGTGAAAGAAATGTGAAAGTTGTCAGAATTAAAATGGAATCCCTTGTGCCAACCCTAAGAAAAAAAGTATATAAAGCCAGAGAAAATAAAGAAGAAAGAATTCTTTCACATGATCGTTTGATAGTAACTATCACAAAAGACATCCAGAACTACAAGCTTGTACAGAGGCCACTACAACCTTACACAAAAAGTATTTCCACAAGGATATCTACTGAGCAATTATCTGTTCAAACACAGTTTTGATGTCACTCTTGTTATTAATCATTGTGGTCAAAGATTGTTGTTTGAAAATATCTGATATAATTCTCATTTTTGCCTGTAAAAACTTCCTTTTCTTCTCTTTGGAAATAAGCATAGGTTACTATGGTATACATATTCTCATTATGATGTTGTGCTAATTTCCATTGCAATGTTGCACATTCCCCAATAAATATGATTTCATAATTTTCTTTGGAGAATTTCTCTCACAGTTTTATTTAGGTTGGGACTGGTTAGTGCTGGAGAATCATGAGTTGTGAGTACTATCATTATCATTATCACTCTGCCTAACCAGAATACTTCAGGTATCCATGAATGTTGGATGCAAAAAGGGGGGAAAAAAAAAAAAAGAAAGAAAGCTTCTATTTCTAATGGAAGTTTCAAGGAACGACAGCTGTTTAGGGAGAGGAAACTGATATAGGAAAGTATCAATCCATCTACGACTAGATGAACGAAGGAAGAGCGATGGGACTTGTTTAGTGAGGCCCTGGGAGGCAGAACTAAGATCTGAGCAGAGAGTGGCAGTCAGGGGAACATCAATTTGGCCTCATACAAAGAAGCATTTGGGGCAGATTCGAGTGGTAGAAGAATGGCAGGGGCTGCCTCCTGAGAGGTCAGTACCACTTTCTGGGCACCGCAGGCCTAGAAGATATATTGGAGGAGGAGTCCTGGTAGGAATTTTAGAAATGATGAGTTTCCAGACAATGCCTCGGACCAGAGAGGGCTCCCAGAAGAAGCAGAAGGTCAAAGTCAGGAAAGCTTAAGTAGCCTGACCAGCCGAGTCCAGCCGAGTCCCGTCCTCCATGGCGCAAAATGCTCACATTCACCCTGGGGTCCTGGGAGTCCCGCGGTCAAACCGCAGCGCGCGCGGAAACTCCGTTGTCCTGGCGACGGAAGCGGTTAACCCGAGGACCCGGACAGGTTTGGGGGAGGGAACGGGGCGTGGCCTCGGTTACTAAGGCAGCGGGACGCTTAAGGGAGGGCCTGAGCCCAGTTTGGAGTCCAATGCTCCTCCAGGCCTCTGCATGGCGCCCAAGAAAGACAAAGGGGGAACTGTGAACACCGTTTCTAAGCAGTGGGAACCCTTGCTCATAGCTGCACAGTTCAACCAGGTGAGCCCTGAGCGCTAATTGAAGTTCTCTCTGCCCCTAGCAAAGCCGGAAGCCCCGTCAGACCCCTCCCAGGCACCAACTTCGCCCTCCCCTCCAGACGCCACCGCTGCCCTCCCAAAGAAAACTGGGTCGTAGTCGGAACCCCTCTCTGGGGTCGTTTTCGCTCAGTCTAGAGAGGGCAGGGAATCCCGCTAGGCCAGTCAGTGGGATTTCAAAGGGTGGTGACAGGTGCCTACTGGGGAGGACAAGAGGCACCGATCTGACACCTCAGGACCCTTTTCAATGGCATAGTCCAGAAGGCACTCCACAATTTCGCTGGAATTGCACTCACAAACTCCTCGCTTCCTCTTGACAGGAATGTTGTCAAAATTATCTCTGGTTTGGCCCATAGTAGGACTTATAATGCTGAGTGAAAAAAAGACATGGAGTGCAGGAGAGAGCAATATATACATAAAGTGAACCTTCTTACAGATAGGAAAGGATAACTGCCTTATGTAATGTCCTGGTAACATTATATCAAAGCTTTGATGTGTTTTTGAAAGTGTAAGAGACCAGAGCAACAAGGCTCTTCGTCCATAGGTTGTCACAAACRCACTGGACAATATGCAACCCATCTGCCACATGACTTTGAGTTGCATGGGATCCCAGAACTGAATGGATCCCCTTACCCGCCTTTAGCCTATGGGGAATCCAAGCTCTTGTCACTTGCACCTGGAAAAAGCCACTTAAACAACTATATTATTTCTAAGTCCAAGTAAACATCTGGAAAGAGAAACATTTCTGGAAATTCCAGCCTACCATTGTGAACTACTTTTTTAAATGAAAAGAAAAAAAAAACATTTTTTTCCATTTTATATGGGTTAACATGGTGCCTTAGAGAGTTTGTACTTTAAGGGAAAAAATGGATCAAAAGTCTTTTGTGTTGTTCTCATGAGAAAGTTTTACCTATTTATCTTACCTATCTTATTTATCTTACCGTATTTTCCACTACGATTGTTTTTCTTTATGAACAGTAATTGTGTCTGCTCTGGAAATTAGTCCTGATGAAGAATTTCATAAAAGTAGTTATGATGTTATGATGCAGATGTGACATCATGGAATTTGGGGTCATTTCTATGACTTTAGGAATAAAAGATGTCAACTCAGTAATCCCCAGTTACATTCTCAAATTCTCAAAAAATGTTTTTGAAAGCACTTTGTAAAAGCACCCTCTCTTTTGCTTTTATAAGTCAGAACTAGCCAAAATAATTTTTCTCCATTTTCTTTGAGATTATGTAGGCCAAGTTGGGCTTGGAGTGAACATTTCTGCTTGAATTATAAACTGCTGAACAACGGAGTTTGATGGAGGTGCTGACACTGCATTAGCTTTAGAGTTGCAAATATGAAGCTATAATTTTCCTAGTTGAATGGAAAACCTAAAGGCACTATTTTTTTTTTCTTATGGCTTGAAAACCTGAAATAATATTCGGTTTTCTTGATCCTACTCAAACAATATAATTTCAATAAATCTTGTGTACTAACAGAAAGAATTTGAACTCAAAGTAATATGTAGTTTTAACTAGAAAGAGTGAATTCACTTTTCTTCATTGGTTAATACATGTTTTGTAATTGCAAGAGGAAAACAATTGCCCTCTACCTCCTCCCATAATTTTTTGTCAGCTTGGTTTTGTGTCTGATTCATAAGGAAAATTCCCATATTAACCAACTGTCCAATGCTCTGTGTAAAAGACTCTGAATTTGGGTTAAAGATGACTGTGGATGCATAAATTCTTTTTTTCATAGTGTTTAGCAAAGTGCTCTGCACATAGTAAGGGCTCAAAATGTTACTGTTTTAGCTCCTAGAGAATTTCTTTCCTTATAGTTACTCCTGAACAGGTACATGTGGTTGAGTGTGTGTGCTAGAGTGTGTGTTGTGAATATATGTGTGTACCTCCAGTCTTCATAAGCCAGGTTTTAGAATTTTACCTCATTGGTGAATTCAACAAGCTCAGCTGCACTAGGCTTTAAAGAGAATAAATAAGTTCACAATGTTGTTACAGTGAATTTACCTTATATCACTATTTGGACTTCCCTTTAAGGCTAGAATAATTGGGAAATTTTTAGTACATTTTAGTTATTTCTAAAACATAAAATGATAGCAAATAATACAAGGCAGTCTACTAGTGAATATTAAGTGGTTAGATAGAGACTAGAGGTTGGGAAAATGAATATGAACTTGGATTATAAGGAAATACTTTGCAAAAAAACTTATCTTCAGCTGGGCCCTAAAATGCAGGTAGAATTTTAACAGATTTTAACAGGTAAAATAAAGAGGAACAATGATTTTAGGTAAAGAGACAAATATGTGCCTTAAACAAATTTTGCTGATATCACTCTGGTCTAAGATATTTTTAAGTCAATTCTGATTTATTTCTTCCAAACTTATCACATGGTAGATGATGCTGGGAGAAGAGCTTTGTTCATGACCCAATGTAAGAAAAATTTCCAGAATTTTTTAAACAACATAGTCATTCCTTTTAGGAGCTTACAGATGGTACAAAGCCTGTCTTTAAATAATGTCACATGGCTTCAAAGTGACTGGGGCTGTATGTTTCAATTGGGATTTTGTGCTGTAATCAAAACTTCTGTGTCAATCCAAGGGGAAAAAAAAGAAACCCTAGTATCAGTATTGAGAATATCCACAGACAAGGCATAAATCTTTCTTCTTTTCCTTTCAGAAAGGATGTATTTTATTTTTTTGTCACCAAATGTATCTTTCAGAATACCAGGATTCCCTGGAAGTTTGCTTGAATTGGTTTATGTATCTCACCAGCAGAGTTTGTTTTGGGCTTTTGTTAATTTTAATCATTTAATTATTTCATATTTTCAGATTACTGAGGATAGTATTTCTTTTTATTTGCACCTAAATTTAAGAAATATATAACAAAACCACAAACTTACTTGTGAGACTAACTACTGATGTGGTCATTATTCCATCCCCTTACTGTGACCCACTACAGAAAACATTAAAGGCACAGAAAAAAAATTTGTGGCAACCCATACACAATACATACCTTAACCCAGACAGACTCACTGTCCGATACTCATTGATTTCCAGTTTGTAATGATGGTTTCAGGTCCCTGGTATCCAGCTTAAGTCACTAGATACCTTTATTGTCATTTGCCCAATGTTTATCAAGGTTTTATTCTTGATGAAGTCTTCAATAGAAATAGCTACATATTTTTAAGTATTTGAAAATATCTACTGCAATATATTGAAGTCTTTACTGTTAGATGGTTCTTGCACCCACTTCCACAGTTTTGTTCTCAATGTATGTTTTCCCCTTTCTAACTAAGTAATAATATTTGCAAATGTAAATTTATAGAGACTGAAAAACACAAAGTTCTATGATTTATAATGGCACTGTCCTCACCAATACTCATTCAGAGAGGGAAACTCCTAGGGTTTTCTAGACTCATCTGACCCTTTCGTGAAACTGAAAATTTAAGAGTTTCAAGACCTGATGCAAAGACATATAATATTTTGGCACATCAGGTTTCAGAACCTAGATATTCTCACTAGTCCATACTTTCTCCTTAATAGAACTATAAGTTGTGATAATCATAGAATCTTATGTAGACTTTTCCATTTATAGTGAAACTTTACATATTTAATCTCTTATGTCAACCTCCACAACAACAGTGCTATAGGTAGTGTTATTAGACTAGAATGTATTAATAAATGTTTATTGACTACCAATAAATAAATCTAAAAAGAATACTTATTTTACCTGAAAATATCAAGCATTATTCTTAATAAATCCCTTTTCCTCTCACTTTCACATTCAGAAGGAAGAAAGGCTGTAACATTTGTAAATTCAACTCAGGCTTCTAAGGTCATCTAAGCATGACAAACAGAAATATTTGAGTTTATAACTGATATCCTGTCTGTGAGATAGATAAATTCTTGATTAGGAAAAGTTATTTTCCTCTTTGCAAAAAGAAAATTGTAGAAAAACTATCCTGCTGCTACCTTGAAGTATGCCATAGTCTCTAGTTATACTAGCAAAAGTTTGGCTCATCAAAGTCTCAGGCTACCTCTGTCTCTCAATAATCCCACTTCCATCCATGGCACTATAATTCTTTTTTTTCATTTTATTTTTTATTGATTTTTTAAAAAATAAATGACAGCAGAATATATTACAATTCTTATTACATGTATACAGCACAATTTTTCATATCTCTGGTTGTATATAAAGTATGTTGATGCCAATTCATGTCTTCATACATGTACTTTGGATAATGATGTCCATCACATTCCACCATCCTTGCTAATCCCCTGATCCTCCCTTTCCCTCCCACCCCTCTGCCCTATCTGGCACGGCAATTCTTACAGTCACTACAGCTCATTGATAACTCAGTGAGCKTATTCTTTCCCATCATTTTGCCTCTGAGTCCTCTAACATTTTCTTACTCTAATTCTTCCTTTCTGATCTCATACCCCTTACTTCTACTCACCTTAAAATTACCTATTTCTGTTTGTCAAACCACTTCCATTTTCTTTTTTTATAATATCAAACATTCAGATACCTCTTATTCTTTTTTTTATTGGTTGTTCAAAACATTACAAAGCTCTTGACATATCATATTTCATACATTAGATTCAAGTGGGTTATGAACTCCCATTTTTACCCCAAATACAGATTGCAGAATCACATCGGTTACACATCCACATTTTTACATAATGCCCTATTAGTAACTGTTGTATTCTGCTACCTTTCCTATCCTCTACTATCCTCCCTCCCCTCCCCTCCCATCTTCTCTCTCTACCCCATCTACTGTAATTCATTTCTCTCCTTGTTTATTTTCCCATTCCCCTCACAACCTCTTATTTGTATAACAATGAGGGTCTCCCTCCATTTCMATGCAATTCTTATTCAAAGTCAATGCTTTATGTATTTGTTTAGAGTCSCTATTTCTCTGTCATGAGTGTTGAAGAGGCATGTGCTGGGTAATGAAAG